AGCAGGACGCTGGCTGCCCTCGGCCGCAGGGAGATGGGCCCCTGAGGGGGCTGAGGGCACTTTAACGGGGCGTATTGCCCCTCTCCTCCCCTCGCTTGAAGCATCGACACTTCAGTAGTGCGGAGGGGAGCGAAGGGAAGGCCCAGGGCAGCCAGCGCATGTGACCGCCCGGCAGCGTAAGCGGAAGAGAAAGCAAAACATTCTCCATAAAAAGAGTGCCTGGGAGCGCAGAGACACTTTGGGCTCGTTTCAGATAATGTTTAGTTTTTAAGGGGGCATCTGTTATCTATTGCTGCTAAATGCACGCCCCTCCTTGCTTTCGCCGTATCTGCAGCCGTAGGAAGACAGCCCTCCGTAATTCATAGCGAAGAGCTGTAGCTACAGCAGTGCTGGGGAGAGAAGCCAGCGCCGTTTCCTTTCTGTCCCGGCTTTCACAGCAAGCAGGGAGCGCCGGAGCTGGACGCCGGAGCTGTGTTCTCCCTCACGCCTGGAGCAGCTGCCCTAGTCCAAAGGGGGAAGACATTGCCTAAGAAAGCTGCCCCGGCCACGCACAGAGCGTGCTCCTGTCGGGACTTGCTCTCCGTGCATTCTGTGACATGGTTTTTGCTTAACAAGGCTCAGCAATCAGGCAGCCGGATTCTGGCTGCCAGCCTCAGCTGAAAGCAAACTCTGCAGCTACCGCACAGTGATACAGCTGAGGCTTCGTGGCTGAACCAGCTGCAGAAAGACCCTCTGGGAAACTGAAGCACCGTTATTCTGCCAGGATTAAAAGCAAACAAACATGTACTTGCATTGCAGAACTCATCCCCTGATGAGGCCAGAACTGCTCCTGGCTTCAGAACAGAGCTAAAAGTCACAGCGGCAAATCCGCTGAGGTGGCCTCCTGCCAAGTCTAAAGCCACCCACCTCCAGTGCTGGGAAGGAAGGGGACAAAATTAACACCTGAAGGGTACATGGAAGGGATGAACATTCACAGTCCCAGTCACAGATGCAGAGCAGCTACTCTGTGTTCCAGTTAGCAGTACTGGAATGGCAAAAATAAGATAAATCCTTTCAAAGATGGCAAACAAATGGAAATGCAGTTGGATTTCTAATTAGTCTCTGCACCTTCTCGCCACCTTTCCATCAAGTTACCATAACATTCCTGTGTGCTTGTAGAACGTATACCCACTGCTGCGAGGCCGTGATTACCTCCACAACAAACACTGGATCCTACAGATTCCCAAATCAAGTCAGCAAGGCCTGTGCACAATCTCATTCTGCCCAATAAAATACTACGCCAAATGCTTAATTCTCATCAGCCTCAACAGGATTCACAGCAGTGCTTGCTTTGCTCAACAGGGAAAGGATTATTCATGTTTAATCGCATGCAGATTGCAAGCCATCTCAGCTTGACCTCCAAGCAGCTTCTAACACCACTTGTCAGCAGAAAGCCTGAAGCAGAAGAGCATCTAATGAAGATAAGCAATCCCTGAAAGACCAGAGGCTGCAAAAGGTGCACTTTAAGTCCCTTAAGTGACTTACATGACAGTAAAGACTTGACCAGACTTGCACGGTCAAGAGCATCTCCTAGGAAACGGGTGGTCAAATCATGAAAGAGAAGCTACTGCTACAGACAGGACATCAGGTCCTCTATCTTGCTGCCCTCACTTCAGGAACTTTCATGGAAGCAACCCTCTGACAACCTGAACCCATTTCCATTGCTGATGGGTGGTGCTTGTTTCTGCTGCCATAAAAAGATAGGAGAATTGTGAAATATAGTCAGGTGCTATTGCAGCCTGTACACCTCATGGCATCCCTCCAGGCCCTAATAATCAGAATTAAAAAGAGAACTAATGAAGATGAAAGCAACTTCCATGATTTTTTTTTTCCTTTAAACAGAAAACCAATTGTAGACAGAGCTTTCTGGATCATAGGAAGCATGTAAACAGCGACCACACTTGATCAGTTCCAACTTACTCCCCCCTTGCCCCTCCCCCAAATTATTAAATTTATTTAATTGGCACAGCTTGATGCACCTGGCAGCACACCATGGTTTCAGAGCCCATGAGTAGTCACTATGGAGCAGATAACTTCCTATTATATGCCCTCGAATCTGAGGATCTCTTGATTCACTGAATAAACAGCTGTATTATCTGAATTGTTACAACTCATTAACTACTACAAACCTTTCCATGCTTTATTAATCCCCATAACTCCGGGTCTCATGGTAAAATAAGAAAATTCATTTCCTCTCAAGTTCTCTGACAAGACCAAACAACTCCTTTATGCATAACAGATCCTGCGCATAACAGGCTTCAAGGGGAAGTGATTGCATTGACGATTTGATTCAACATTTCCCCAACTTTCAAGTGCGTGCAGCAGGAGCTACTGTGACTGTAAGAAAGATGATGCTATTCCAAAACAACCTGCATGATTCCCACTTGAGCACAGATGCACAAAGATCTCCTGTTGATACTCAAGATTATTTGTTGAGATTACCAAGACTGAGCCTCGAGAGCCCCAGAGAAGTCCCTGTTACCTTAGCAGCCGAGTGGGCCTGGCTCATCTCAGCAAATGAGTGAAATCCACGTACCGCATACAGCATTTACAGGGTATCCTTCTGCTACCAGATCATGGTCATGCTTCCCTCACAGCATGATATATTATGGAAAGAAACTACTCCCGTTGAGAAACCCTGTTAGCAGTTTACCCTAGATGAGACCATTTCCCCACCCTCTAACTGAAAATAAAAATGTGTCTTCCAAAAAGAAAGGAATTGAAGGATGTACCAACTGCCATTTCACACCCAAACCCACTCCTAGCTTCCCAGCTGGATAACCAGAACTTTGGGAATTTGTGCTCTGCGTAGTATTGGAGACCTCATTGCTGTAGAAAAGAGCACATGAGATGAGTCTGTAATTCCTTCCTTTCATAACCACTAGGGCAAAAAGGAGAAATACAGATTTTTAGATGATTTTTAAAGTCCTCATTAAAACCACAGCAGACAGGGGAAAAAAATTCTCCTTGAGTCATTGAACCATGCAGGAGAATGCATGACTGAATAAACTCAGAATTTGACTCAATTTTTAAATTCTGACACATAAATGCAAGACAAGGCTTACCCTTCACTGACTGTATTTCAAATTCACACCATCTTAACACTTAAAAGCTGGCAACTTTATTGTCTATTTTAGCTTGGAAGAAAACAGATGGATTTTGCTGTCTTCTCAAAAGATCTCAAATGCTCCAGACTGAAAGATATAGCCTGAAACACATACCTCTGCCAACAATTTTGCAGCATTTTGTTAGTAAATATGAGTCAGGATCTGTCATTACCTTTGGAAAGATGCCCACAGAAAATGCATAGTATTGAAAACCATGAATGCTATACTAGCAACAAACTCTTTGAAGGCTGAATGCTTGCTGAAGTAAGATGTAGCAGACTAAGACGACTCCAGATCCATTAAGCTGGACTAGTGCACCTGCAGGTTGCCATAGCAAGTGTTAATTCACTCAGCAAACCACAGCCTAATTATACATCAGTGGCACAAAGCACTCTGGAGTCATTAAACATTTTCCAGCCTTATATTCCATAAGGTTTCATCACAAATTCAAGATGCCCCAATTTTAATTTGTGGGAACAAGTGAGATTGAAGCAGTACTGGGGTGCTCCATAGAGCCAAAAAAGAAATAGTTTGGAAACAAGTGACAAGCCAAACCATTTGCAGCAGAACAGAAAGGACCCAGAAAGACTGCAAGTAGCTCTACAGATGGGAAATATGCCCTCTCACAAGGTAGTAGGGAACCTGGTATATACAGTGCTACTTGTTCAAAGATTTGCCAGAGTTCTAGCCTCAATTTTTTTCAGTCCAAACTGGATCCACTGTCATGCTGATTTAATCACACCAAGAGTTTCTCAGTGGCAAGTCCTAGCCTGCCAATTAAAGTGTGACATTGAAGCATAAACATTAACTATACAGCAGTTGAACAGTCAGCTTTGCCCAAATATAGCATATGTGCCCAAGTACGAAAGTTATCCATGATCTTCTAAGTGGGCATCAGACAAAGGGTTTGTTTGTCAGTTTTAAAAAACAGAAGATATCTTTCATACTGCTGAGTAACTGTTGCTGGTTTTGCTAGGGAAAAAAAATTGTTCCTTGTTTCATGCAGCCTTATTAAAGGGATCCATGTCATGCTGTAAGTGTCAGCTCTCAGCACTGCAGTTGCTAATAAAAGAAACTATTAAATCAAAATTAAGGTCCAAAACTTACAGTTACTACTGTCTTTCCACTGTCATTCCCATAATTTGAATAGGCTTTATCTGCCTATAATTTTCATAATGAGCAAAATTACTTCGGATCATTTTTTCCTGCTATACTACCATTTAATTGTAGAGCCTTAAAAAGGAGAGAAGGGCAATAGAAATCTTGTAAAATACAACATTAGGTAGATGATAAGAAACAGAACTTACCCAGCAATGCATTCCTCCCGAGTTCATGGGGCTGGCTCATCTGGCCCAACAGAGCAGACAGCAGCAGCCTCCACCAGAATTCTGCTTCTAATAGCAGTTTTGTTAGACATTCTTCCTCCTCTCCCCTTTCGCTTGGTGCTTGTACCAACAGAAACCATTAACCTTTGAAGATGCAAGGGAGCAGAAGACAGTATAAAAAAGCTCATGCGCTAGCACAGAGTGAGCAGCTGAACGCACTTCAGAATTTTATGCCAAGAGGAGCACATGTCCTTGCAGTCATTTGTGGAGAGATCAGTTTCCACCTAGCTCACAAGACATTAAAGCAGCTGCACAGCAATGCTTGCGAATTACTTGTCACCTCTGATGCCAGATCTATAGTTGCCCAAACGTTGCCAGATTGGAGAAAATTCCCCTGAGGTCTAACAAACAGCAAGAGCTATTACAGAAGAAAATCCATACTGTTTCTGACAGTAAAAGCGTAAGTCAATAAAAGCTTGTAAGCAGGTTCAAGCAAGTTACTATTTGACAGTATCATAAGCCCAGTAGTCTCCAGATGCTACACACTGCCCTGTGTGCTGCGTGAACAGATCATTCTACATGATAGCACTAGCTCCATCTCACTGAAGCAGTGGGAATTAGTGAGGAGCTTAGTTTTAAAGGTTTTCGGCAAAACAATCTTATCCAAGTTTTCAGAAACTTGGACAGACACTACAACTCCATAAATTGGATTAAGTCCACAAAAACAGTGAAGTACTGTGGTATGCAAGAGTTTGTTCCACATTTTAGGTACAGCTGCACTGCAGTGGCAGGGAGTTTATGCTTCCAGATGCATTTTAGAATGCAAAATCACAAAATTTATAAGATCCATTACAGTTAGCCAGGAAAGCACAGAATCACAGAATCACAGAATCAGGGGAATCATCTGCCCCACCCCCCCTGCCAAAGCAGAGTCACCTAGAACAGGCTGCACAGGACCACGTCCAGGCAGGTCTTGAGTATCGCCAGAGAAGGAGACTCCACAACCTCCCTGGGCAGCCTGTTCCAGGGCTCCATCACCCTCAGAGAGAAGTAGTTCTTCCTCATGTTCAGACGGAACTTCCTCTGCTTCAGTTTGTGCCCATTGCCCCTTGTCCTGTTGCTGGGCACCACTGAAAAGAGCTTGGCCCCATCCTCCCGACACCACCCAAAGCAACTAAAGCAAGACTGTTCAGAGCTGGCAGCTTTGCTTTCCTTGAGAACTCAGTCATTCCAGTAATTAGATTTCTAGACTGCAGCTATTGAGATCCCCAGGCTAGCTCAATTCTCTACAGGTCATGAGCTGTTCTAGTATTTAATCTAGCAGTTTACTGTATTCCACCATCAGCTTGTAATTGTTGCTATGAACTCACAGCAAGTTTTCAAGTTGAAAGAAAGGAAACTTCTACAGTCCTACTAATCCAGCTGGTCTTCAGTTCCAGCTGCCTCACCCAAATTACTTTTGACCCACAAGGAAGTAGTTAGAAAACACCAGCACCATGTGTCTGGAAAATAGCATGCTACCTGGGTAATTCCTGCCTCAAGTAAATCTGGACAGAGTGCAGATTTGCCTGAACTCATTAGCTGCTCAGTATTATTTCAAGCTGTTGAGTGCTGACCAGTACAAAGCTAAGGTTAGTATGTTACGTCAACTCTTGGCGCACTCTGGCCCATAAGCAGGAAAGTGGACACTGCTGCTACCGATTTCACCACCCTGGCAGTCTCTAGTGGTTGGCATTTAAAGATGTTTTGCTCTGTTCAAACAGCATTCAGTATGAGGTGGAGCTTACCACTGCTCCTGCTCTTAATGTATTTCAGTGGGGAAGACTACCTGCAGCATTTCCCTCAGCACTGGGCTGAAGCTTTTCCAGTCCTGTGAATGAAGTCATGTAAGCATGTGACTGCCTCCTGCAGCATGACCTCCACACGTGACACTGTGCTGATGCGTCTGGTGAAAAGACTGCAGCTCCCTTTCAAGTTAATTGCTAAGCCATCTATGCTAGGTGCCTTGCCACCAGTTTCCCTTTTTCCTGCCTGGCATCCTTAGTTGTCAGATGAAGAAACCTGATGCTAGCAGTGGTAGTGTATTATTACTAACCGGTCCCCACCCCTCAGATATTAAGACTAGAACCACACAGTGGATACTGCAGTTTTACATTTATAGTTGGACTTTTATAATATTCAAGATTAGCACAAGATTCATAACCATAAATTATACATTATCTAAGTACATAAAACGTTAATGATACATGTATTTGAAGAGTGGCACAAAGTAATAATACATCCCTGTTGGCATTCTCAAAGAGAGAGGTGGGTGATGGACACGCTGTTGATACTACTGCAGCATAGCAGAACTGAGTCACTGCACCCTGTTAATTCAGGTGGTGCTGACTGCCCACCAGAAAGGGTCAGAACGTGGTGTGGCAGGAAGCCAATGCCAGAATCAGTTAAAGGTGCAAATAAAGAGTCAGGATTATGGCCCTGCCTATTGCCTCAATGTTTTAGCAGTCTGTCCCCCTCCCCAACCCTAACACTGTGCTCTTGCATCTCCAGTACTTTGGCAACCCATGCACACTCCTGTGTTCACTTGCCACACATAGCTGAGGTCTCCTTTAGTACCATTTAACATCAACAAGTAACATGCTCTCTTCTTGTTATACAAAAAAGATCTGGGAAGTGTTTGCTCTCTGGCATGAGAAGATTTATTTTCTTCAAGTCTCATATCTACTCCAGAAAATATAGAACAGACTCCAACAGCAAACCCCAACAGCATTATTGTCCAGGAAAATGGAAGCTTTCCCAATATTCCTCTAAACATTCAGAGCACAATTAGAAAGCCCATTTTCTTTTGCACATAAGACTGCAAATAAAATGGGGTAGTCAGATGTACACAAGCTTTCAACAATTCATTATTAACGAGATGCTTCACTGAATTGTTAACAACCCTGCTACTTCAGTAGCTTCAGCTAAAGCTTTAACAACTTGGTGCCAGGCAATTTCCCAGCTGCCTTCAATGGGCTTTGCAAAAGAAAGAAAAATATGCTCTCTTCCCCCTGGCTTCAAGCAGTTATTGCTATATGAGTTAGTGAAATAGTGCCTTAACTTCAGACAAGAGTCTCACAATGTCATCAACAAAAGCTGCCTTTCAGAGGCTGAAATGTAACCGGACAATAATCAATAAATAACAGTAGCAGGCATCCTGTTGAAGTCTCCTCACTGAGCCAGGCAGCAAGTGTGTTCAGCCAACTGAAGGTCATCTGTGCCTTTAGGACCATTGTACACTTCTTGGAGAAGTTAAAAAGGGACGGGAAGGAAGAGAACAGAGACAGTGAAGGTCTGTCAGAACTAGTTACATATTGAAACCATAAACAGGTGGCTGGGTGAATCCTGGCGCTGTGTATCCATATGGGAAGTTTGCCTGGGGAGGTACTGCACTGGGGCCTGCTGTTAACATCAACTGCTGGCCTAGAAAAGCATGAGAAAAAAAACAAAGTTAGTTCAAGAACCCAAGCTTCCCCTAATGCTAGCTGTACTATGGGACAGGATTATGAGGCTTTAGCTAAAAATCAGCCACTGTGCAAGCATACGCTAGCAAGTCACACTATTACTCAACATGCACCACAGAGTGTGCACCCAGGCCATCTGCTCTTGCTACCAGAAACTACAAAAGCAAGGCAGGAATCAGAGGGAAGATGAGTATCAACTGATCCTGAGGGCATGGTAAACCTGGCTTGTTTTCAAGAGACCATACTGAAAATCAGAACAAACTGATACTATTTAACCCATGCGTGGTCAGAAATGAAAAGTAAAGCAATTGAAGCAAAGTTAGGTCTGTTAGGTCTCAGACTGGAGAGTGTTGCAAAAGGCCCAAACATACTTTGACAGATCCATCTTCATCACTAGGAGCACACATGCCTCATGCATATGTTAAATTCAGGTTAACATTTACATCAGACCATGAACCAGTCACATCCTTCCCTTACCAGCAACTTCTAGGTGCTTGTTAGCAGAATGCCTCTTCAGAAGGGCTTCTAAAATAGCAGCACACTTGAGGACAGCCATGTTTTTTTGGCTGCACATGTCTCAAAATGGGCGAACTAGAAAGCCAGTCTGCCTTTCTACTTGGAAGAGCAGAAGGCAGACATTCTTCTTAGACAGGAATAACAGGAGGAATTTGCATGCTTTGTAAGTTATTCCTGGGGCTGTGCACACCTTGGTATTCCCCATCCTGTTACTAAAAGACTATTCCTAAGCTAGAGGTCTGAGCCATGTAAGAGGAGCAATACTTTAGCTGAAGAGTAGAAGTACTGTAAGAGTGAGATGTCACTTCAACTTATGCAGTTCATCTAGCAGAGACAACCATTTTACTATGTAGTTGAAACCAGTTTACTTCAACGGGAGGTAGTCATTTAAGTTACCTCTACAAAGATAGACCAGAGTGTCAACAGGTAATCAATTAAAACCAAGTCTTTCACCTACCAAATACTATTGGAGTGGGTTCAGTTACTTGTTCCTCTTCTTTTCTTAGGCTTTCAGAAGCATCAAGTTTATCCACCTACATTGAAGTGAACAGGAGATGTATGAAGGCCTTGTCTAGGAATTGCACCATCATGTGAGGCTTTTCATGCCTGGTACCTTAGCTCTAAGGTGTCCTTTTTATTAGTCCAAGTTGGACACTACAAAAGTCTGCCTGTTCCGAGCAAGCTACACTGTAAACCTGCCCTTGCAGTTGCTTTAGGTTTATTGCAATAACCAACAGTTGTCAAATGCAGCAGAAATCATAATTACCTTCAAATGAAGCACTTTTTGGGGCCCTATTCTAGTCACTGGTAACTCTACAGCCCAGAGGACAAGCCCATCAGATTGTTCAGCTGGAGCTTGCAGTTTCAAGCATCATCTCAAATGGGCCTGATCTACACTTATCTATTAACATGCAATCCCTCTCCCCTTCAATGAGAGGGCCAAAATATTCCAGACCCATGAAGTTTGATCTTATCTAGGTCTACAGCCTAACCTGGGCTGCAGGGTAATGGTTTAACTGCACTAGTATTCACATAGACTCCTTTCAGAGAAAACTAGAACACTCATGGAAAGTGGTCTAGTAGTATCAGCTTTATACAGATCCCAGTGTTTGCCAAATAAAGCTCTGTTCATGCTAAACACATTTGTGAAAGTGCTACAGTAAAGCAGGAGCCTGAACACAACTTTGAATTGGGGGTGGGGAGAGTAATCTGAGATGGCAACAAGACCTTCCTTCTCTCAGGTTTAACAAGTTATATCTTCCATAAACAAACCATCGAGATTTAAGACTATCAGGCATAAAAATCACACAGCTTCACGCGTATATACAGGCAGTACTAACACCCTGGCCAAACCTACATTTAGCCCAATGCTATATTTCAGCTGCTCCTCATCCTCCTTTCCCCTTGCAAGAATCTTATCTTGTCTGAAGAGTGCTGCAAGAGGGGTCTCTATTATACTTTCGAGATGTTATCTAGATGTGGCATTTAATGGTTTCCTGGACTTTTTGAAGTCCGCAACCCAAATCAACAACTTGAGTGGCAGTAGGTCTTTAACTGGTTCATTTATAGATGTCAGCTTAACAGCTCTTCAGGATAACACTAAGTATTTATATTAGAAACATTATCCATACTACCATCAGAGCAATTGACAGCTACCAGTTTCAAACTACTGTACTGCTTTACTCAGGATCTGGGATTCCTACTCTCTCCTGGACTACACTTTCTTCTTTACTGCCCCTAAAGCACTAAGGAACTTGAAACAAAAGTGCAGTTACTCCCTCTGTTGGAGAAACAACAAGAATGCTGAGAGCAGCCGCCCTGAAGAAGGGACAAGAGAGGTTCTCCAGGAAAGCCTATAAACATCCGTCTGATTTGCTGCCTAGAAGTGAAGTTGTTCAAAAGGTTTCCAAACAAGTATCATCACACTGTGTGCCTGGCCCCTTCTGGGACATATGCCATTCTGTGCTTTAACACTTTCTTCTGCATAAAAGGAAGATAACTTCTAGAAGATATACACACCCCCGCTGACAAACTAATCTATTCTTTCAGACTTTTGAAGTTAGTTACATGACAATTTTAGACATAACACATTTATAAAGCCCATTCTCTAATTCCATGTTTTGCAGTTAATTCAACAGACTAAATTAGTTCTGCTGTAAACCACTTGTACCATGCAGATTTTCCTTCTGGCAAGTTATCCCGTATTTAGTACACGTGATTACTTGTAAATCCAACCAGCCATTTAAATACCATGATGATAGACCTAAACCTCACATGGAATGGTACAGGTGAGCTTGTGTGGCAAGTTTCTCCTTAGTAGAATATGAGGAAGAGGAGGAGTTTAAGATCTGCGCAAGTACTTTCATCACGGTAACAGGCAAGGAGTTTAAAGAAGCTTTATGCTACTGTTCAAACTCACCATGCCTGAAAGATCGCACACTTTGGTAATTTACAGCATAATAAGCAACGTGCACTTAGATCACATCCTGTTATGTGGCAACTTCTTTTGTTTACTCATGAACAACATCCTCCCTGCCACAAGATATCCGTAATGCAGTGAACAGGAGCCCAAACACTCAAGTTCTCTTCAATCACTTGCTTCTGTTTCCCATGAGGAGGGGAAGAATCATCCATCTGGTTGGATTTTCAAGTTGCTTGTGAATAGTTATCCTTTAGCATTAGACAGTGAACAGGAAATGAGTTAGAGCTAAATTACACTGCTCTTCTGGCAGAAGCTACAACTAGATTCCTGTAAAAGAATCCTAGGATATTGAGGGACACAAATGAACACAAAGAGTTTGAAATCAGAGTGTCACCTTATAGAACAGCCCATCAACCTGCAAGAAAATTCAGAGGGGAATACTTAACATGACTGATTAAAGGCAACCTGAAGTAGTCACTTTTAGATTATTCATTTTAATAAAGTTCTTTACTGCGATGCCCTATGCAACTCCAGAGCCTTCTAAGGAAGCATCTTAGTTTACTATCTTAGAGCTGGTCGAGACAAGCATTTCAGGACCACACGTGATCAGAATCTCTCTTCTCTCTCAACTGAGGACTGGATATTGGTACCCGAATTGTACAGCCAGAATATGCATCTAAAGTTCTGTTTCCACTTAAAAAATAAGAAATCATCTTCAGCAGTTTACTCCTACAGCTGATGCAGGAATAGTGTGCACTATTAGTTACTCAAAATCTATCTTCTATGTAACAAGAAATCAGAGTACTGTCATAGTTACATGAAGCAGAGTGATACAGGTTGTCCTCACCAAGTCTTCAGCTTCATCAATTATGGATCTGCTCTGAAAAGCACACAGTTGCTTATGTCCACTGTTAAAAGCAAGAGATTAACTAGACCTCTTTCAAGTCCCAAGGCATATATTTATCAATTTCACTAGCTAGCCTGAAGCTATTACACCCACAGAACTTCCTAGCAGACTTAATTTATGAGGAACAACAATATTCCAAATGCATGCAAGGAGCTCTGGTTTGCATAATGCCAGTCATCCAGAAGACTAGAAGTCTGAACTTTTTAGCCTATGCAATACTCACTTTGGTAAGGTACTCTCTCATCACTTGGATGAAATAAGGCATTGCAAAGTCCATGATGTTATGCCTCCATGCCAACTCAAGGACTACATCTGGGTGCAGCAAGTCATAACATGTGAAAAGGCAGGCTGCAAAGCACTCCTGCTTGCCTTCTTCCAGGAACCACTGAAGCAGCTTCTCAGCTAGTTCTGCATCTTTGGACTCTGCAGCATACTGCATAGCATCCTACGGAAAAAAACAACAGTTGAACTTGACCCTTGCCTGTCAGCATCTTGCTCTACACCAAGAAGAATCTCCATCTCTTATTGGATGCGAGGGGGAATACTGCCACCAACAATGAGGAAAAGGCTGAGGTCCTTAATGCCTTCTTTGCCTCAGTCTTTAATAGTCAGACTGGTTATTCCCAAGGTAGTCAGCCCCCAGTGCTGGAAGATAGGAAATGAGAGCAGAGCAAACCTCCCATAATCCAGGAGGAAGCAGTTAACAACCTGCTATGCAACCCACACACTTACAAATCTATGGGACCAGATGGGATCTACCCAAGTGTGCTGAGGGAGATGGCAGAGGAGCTGACCAAGCCACTCTCCATCATCTATCAGCAGTCCTGCCTAACAGGGGAGGTCCAAGATGACTGGAGGATTGCCAGTGTAACGCCCATCTGCAAGAATGGCCAGAAGGAGGATCCCAGCAACTACAGGCCTGTCAGCCTGACCTTGGTGCCGGGCAAGATTATGGAGCGATTCATCCTAAGTGCGCTCACCAGGCATGTGAAGGACAACCAGGGGATCAGGCCCAGCCAGCATGGGTTTGTGAAAGGCAGGTCCTGCCTGACTAACCTAATCTCCTTCTATGACCAGGTGACCTGCTCTAGTGGATGAGGGAAAGGCTGTGGATGTTGTCTACCTGGAATTTAGTAAGGCCTTTGACACAGCATCCTCCTGGAGACACTAGCTGCCCATGGTTTGGATAGGTGTACTCTTTGCTGGATAAAGAACTGGTTGAAAGACAAAGCCCAGAGAGTGGTGGTGAATGGACTCAAATCCAGCTGGGGGCCAGTCACAAGTGGTGTTCCCCAGGGCTCAGTTTTGGGTCTGGTCTTGTTAAATAAATTTATCAATGATCTGGATGAGGGGATCGAGTGCTCCCTCAGTAAGTTTGCAGATGACACCAAGCTGGGTGGGAGTGTTGATCTGCTTGAGGGTAGGAAGGCTCTGCAGAGGGATCTGCCCAGGTGGCCAAGAAGGCCAACAGCATCCTGGCTTGTATCAGGAATAGTGTGGCCAGCAGGAGCAGGGAGGGGATCGTGCCCCTGTACTCAGCACTGGTGAGGCCACACCTTGAGTACTGTGTTCAATTTGGGGCTACAAGCAGGACATTGAGTTGCTGGAGCGTGTCCAGAGAAGGGCAACGAGACTGGTGAGGGGTCTAGAGAACAAGCCTTATGAGAAGCAACTGAGGGAGCTGTGGCTGTTTAGTCTGGAGAAGAGGAGGCTGAGGGGGGACCTCATTACTCTCTACAACTATCTGAAAGGAGGTTGCAGTGAGGTGGGTGTTGGTCTCTTCTCCCAGGTAACTAGTGGTAGGACGAGAGGCAATGGCCTCAAGTTGCATCAGGGGAGGTTTAGATTGGATATAAAGAAAAATTTCTTTACTGGAGGAGTGGTCAGGCATTGGAGCAGGCTGCCCAGGGCAGTGGTGGAGTCCCCATCCCTGGAGGTGTTCAAAGAACATGTAGATGTGGCACTTCAGGACATGGTTTAGTAGGCATGGTGGTGTTGGGCTGATGGTTGGACTTCATGATCTTAGAGATTGTTTCCAACCTACGATTCTATGATTATGTGCATGTTACTGCTAGATAAGCCAGGTATTTGGCATACCATGAAGTTAGTCTTTAACAACACCACGCATGTTCTGTAGAAGCCAAGCTACAGTACACACACTCAGTTATGTCATCGTATTTTGAGGCAACCCAGATACTTGTATTAACACTATCCAACAGGCTTTCCTCAAGTACTTGAAGTGGCCTGACGAGATTTTGCTTAGTTTTGTAACAGACAAGATAAACAATCTTTCTGGTATCCTACCTACTTCACCATTAGACATTAAAGATCACCCAGAGCAGAAGAGATTATTGCATCAACTGCTTGCTACGCGTCAGGACAGAAGACTATTTGCCAGCTCTCCTACAGAGTAGTCAAAAACCGGCCCATGTGAACTCACTACAGGCTTGAAGACTATACCACTGTAATCATGTTTCATCTGTATCCTGACAAGGGCATAAGTCTTCAGCTCCACAGAGGATGTTCCTTGCCGATATGGAAAACTGTACAGATGCCATTGATTGATACAGACAGATCTCCAAGTACAGGATAAAATTATGAAATCAGATATATGATATGCATTTCAAATTGCAAATGCTTCTGCTCTAAGAGTCTTTCCTTAAACTTCAACTGAAGGGCTAAGACTAATTAGAACTCCAGATCTGGAACTAACAAAACACATTCAGTATTCAGGAGATCTATACTTCATGGCTCACTTCCTGACAGTCAGAGAAAGGCTGCATCAACTCACCTTATAGAGACGGTCTTTCTTGCACAGCTCCACACTCTGTTTCCAGCGATTGTTACCCTTATACAAGTATGCTGCAATACGCCTAAATTCAATTAGTTCATGCTTTTCCAGACGCTGAGCCAATGTTATGTTATCAAAGTTGTCGTAGGCATCAATGGAAGCTCTCAAGCCCTGTTTGAGAGAACTGTGGTTACACATGCTTCCAGGTGGTAGCAGGCAAGAACTACAGTAGAGAAGCATCTAAGCATGGTGCACAAGTGTTTAGGTTCTGCCTGCTGGATGTTGACACTACGGCTACAGCTTGTTTACCCTGCTTATTTCATGTATCCCTCCACAAGATTATTTTTAACGAAGCAAGATGCTAACTCAGTCATACTGACTTCGCTTGACAGAACAGAAAAGCTAATTACTTTCAGAAGACAAAGCGTATTCTTCCAAATAGCAGCCAATCGGGCCAGAAGCAAGTGTGTTTACAGAAGTGCTGCCCAGTAGAGTACATACCTAATATAGATCTTTGAAGTCTGTTGTTCTGAGAGAAATAACTGTGGCATCTGCTTTGTCTGCAAATAATGAGTGTCTCAAGACTCCTGCCCACAAAGGGTCTGATTTGAGCCCCACTACTGTTGCATTGCAGAAGTTATCTTCTACACAAGGGAATTACTGTGCCAGACGGGGAACAAACAAACTGTGGCCTGTTTTTGTTGCAGAAAGAGGAGCATCCCTCAGGCCTAGCAATCTATTTTATGGGGCTCACCTGGTAATCTTCCTCCTCTGTTAAGAGGTTGTTCAGAGCTTCGTTAACTCCTTTGTTGTTGTGGTTCTGGACTGAGCGCAGATAAGGCTTTACCAAAAGTAGCTGATTAACCTGGAATTAAGGTGATTCCAATACAAGATTAAGTATATCAATTCCGTCACTTCATACTCCTGAAACAGGTTCCTACTTGTTATTTACAAGAGTTTGTGCTTACCATCAGGATCCTTCAGACAAGGCACCTTGTATTGCCAGAAGTAAAACAGCCTCCTAAGACAGTTATGCTAACTCTTCCAGTGTTTCCCATATCAAGCTATGATTGGACTGCTTCTCAGTCCTTTACACTGGAGGCAGAACCACCTGATGGATGTCAAACCTTTTTTCCAGCCAGAGGGAGTGGAGTGTCTCAACCAACAGGATTTCTTACTCATCTACTACATACCAAACTCACCTTTGAGAAAAAATTGACAGTCCTGGTGTGATCCAGTCGCGGAGATAATACAAGCAGGAGATCATTGATCAGCAGAGGTTTGTAGTCTAAGTAGAACTGCAAGGCTTTATAGTACAGTTCCACATTGGCCACCTGCATGGTTAGAAACTAGTTAGTTTCAAACACAAGTAAGCCTAAGGTGCTTAGTTTGGATCACTTAACTCAGCACAAGGTTTATATGACTCAAAAGCTTAAGTTTCCTTTTAGAGGCCAGACGTGTCACACTTACATGCAGAATTCTTGTTCAATCTTATGATCGTTTTTGTGGCATCTGCTTCCAGACAGTGAAGTCACAAGGTACCAGGGGTAGTACAAACCAACTCTAACCCTCTAGTTAAGAGATCCTGGCACAAGCAGACCACTAGAATTAATGTGACCATTTGTTGATCTTCTGAAGCCAGTAAAGGCTGTAGTCTTAACCAGTCTAAGTTGTCACCCTAAAACCCAGAAGACCAATAAGATTTGAGACTTCAACACCTTGTCTAAACTATGCATCAGTTCACTGTTGTCTGCTGCACTCATGGGACTGCCCACTGCAACTGTCCCACCGAAACAGCTGGAAACATTTGCAGAGATCTTTCAAGCACAGTCACGGCCTCGGAGTAAGACAGCAGCCAGCTCAAAGGTATTAAGGAGATTATGCCTCTTGCTTGTGCCCTGTGATCCTGAGCAGTCTCTGAAAACATCCTGGCCTAGCTGCTGTCACTCAATGTGCTGCACAGCAGCAAACAAAGGGTATAAGATTATCAGATTAATTCTTGTACTAAACTGACTGGAAGTTGTTCAAAGTACAGCAGAAAAACTGAGTATTAGCTTAACCAAACATTTTCGCAACTGTGATTCTGTTGTGCATTTTTGCCTCTGTTCTTAAAGAAACTTTCAGCACCGATTCAGTTAACTAGTTACTCACCTTGGCGATTATATCTTTAAACTGCCCTTCTTTCCAGGCATCAGTGGGATGATTCATCATAGTAATTATTGCGTTGTCATACTCCTCATACTTGTCATAGAGGAATACAAGTTCTGCCCACAGATGAGCCTGTTCTGCAGCTCTGAGCACCTGATACAACAAGAAATCAGTCAGCTTGATCCACTGACAGCTTCCCAACTTCACATGCAGTGTAGCTACCTTACTACATACCTTTGGAATATTAACTCTAGACCAGAAGAGCTCCAGATGTTCCCTCATTTTCTGAGGTTTGAATTTGGAGTATAAGATTGCAAGTTCAGTAAACATTCCCATGTGAGCACGCTCTAGGCCCAAAGCAGCTTCCAAAAGGGCAATCAGTTCTTCAAAGTAGCCACGATCCTGGATGTTAGGAAAATAAGGATTAATTACAAATTCATGACCAGCTGGCACTTAAAGCTTGCTAAAATGCATATTTCCTTAAATTCAACATGCTTTGATTTTCTCTCCAAATGAGAGTGCTTAGACTTGTAAGACATGACTCCAATGAGTCAGCAGAATTGTGAAAGAAGGGACAGCGAAAGCCATCATCCTTCCATTTACTACAGAAGAAAATACATGCAGCTATTAGGAAATGGAGATGGAAGAAGAATTTGAAGATCACCCCACAGGGCATCACGTTTTATCTGTGAGCGCTTTACTAGTGGATAAAAGTATGCTGTCTGAAGTCCTCTAGGATATTAACAATGATCTAACCTGATAGTAACTGATCAGCTCTTCAAGTTCATCAGCATGGATGACTATGTGTAAGCCACAGATCTGTGCCAAGCGGAATTCTTTTCCATCCACACAGGCGAAGCATACCTGTAATCAGAGTTAGCAAACAGTCAGCTACAGGAGAATACTGCAATGCTTAATCTCCTTAAAGGGAAAATTAGCAAAACTTTACAAATTTGAGATTTACATACAGTTCCAAATAGGTACTTCCATAATGTTTGCTCTAGAATTAAGATCTCTGGCATTCATTTTACACTGTTTTGAAATTAAGCTCTATTATCACGGTTAAGAGGACACCTTAAAGCTACAAACACACTCTGTAGCCAGAAAGTTACCAAGCTACTATCACAGCTAATTGTAATCATTATGAATTAACTATTCTTTAATTCCCTCATTACTGACAGAGCAAGAAAGTCCAATTACATTTTAGAGCAACATGCTCAGAAACAACAGTAGAACACATTCTGCAGACTATTAAAAACCACAAGTTAAGTTACCTCCTTCCAAGTCCTTGTGCTGTTGGCTTTGCGGCCACTGTCCACTGCTGCTTGATACTCTCCAAGGTGCACCAAGGTAGATGCCAGACGAGCAAAGTTAGATACATTGTTGTAAAGTAGTTTTGCCGCTTCATACATCCCCTCCTCATAACAGCGATCACCGACCTGGATTAGGAGTCCACGGTAACAAGGGTAACAGCAAGAATCAGGAGTCAACTAAGCAGCAAGTCATACATAGGAACTGTGGATCAAGACATACCTGTTGTATATGGGCATTATTAGGGCCACTAATAAACTCCTCCAGTTCTGACAGACGATTAGTTTTTGCCAAAGCAAAAATAAGTTCCGTCTCTACATAAGACTCTCTAGCCTTCTTCCTGGCCATCTGTAAGAACTTGACTAGGTCCTCCCAGTTATCTTGGAGAGAAGAGATATTTAAGATCCTGTTTAGTCATTCTGTATTGCTCACCTTAGGGTTTTCACTAGTTTCAAGGATCGACTCCACCATGATACTAAGCCATTTGCATCTGAGTTAAGAAATTCCCTGCTAAACACCAAGTCACCTTCATGTAAGGTTGAACTTCTTGGAACAATTCTACAATCCAGCTGGCAAGCAATCCTGCCACAAACAACTAAATATTATGCTTTGCTATATTTTATGTAACAGTAAGTTATCTCCACGTGAAGGTCTATCTTTGGTGTAGCAACACAGACGAGCTTGTTGATGGGAATCTCACTAAACTCATCCAATTGACTCACCCATTCCATGTACTGACTGCTCCCATTTCCTCCAAAACAGAATTTGTAAGTCTCAAGAATCCCTGCTGCTCGATGTAGATGCAATAGCCTAGCTCATATCCAAACAGTCTTTAGTTTGAGGATGCTTTGCCTTACCATTTCTATTAGCTGCTTGAACAACTTCCATGTAGGCAGATGGATCATCTGCCTTTATATAGGAGTCAATGGCTTCTTTCACCAGGTCCTTTTGAAGCTGTGCTCTGGCTAGCTGGCTCCATACTGCTGGTTCATTACATCTCTCTGCAAATTCATAAGCACGGTCTAAGTTGCCAATGTGCTCAATCAGCACCTGTTTGAAAATTGAAGTTGCAGGTTAAAAATCAAAGCTTTCTAACACTGTCCTTTTAGCAGAACTCTTCCTTCAACTGCATATGCTGTTCTCTGTAAGCAATATGAAGCTAACTGCTTTTAGAACAGCCGTTTCTGTCCAGTGAAGTATAAGCAGCAAGAATAAGACTCTTACTGCTGTTTTCCCTCTGCCTTATGGCAGCCACTCCCAATCAAATGCAGCACACCCCCCCCAAGCGTACAGTGCAACAACCCAATATTTTGTGATTCCTTTGAACAGATCAGCCTCTGAAGTCAGTATTTTGACTTTGTTTTGCTATGCTTTGTGCATAATCCCACTTTTTCCTGCAACCTGGTATCATATGGAAATTGTACTCTCAAGTCCCAATGATTTAAGTGAAAATCAATATAACAGTACACTTCCCATTCTCTATTACTACCATTCTATACTTTCATGCAAGAACCAGGCCTCACCTGAATTGCTGAAGTATTAACATCAAATTTTCTGAATATAGCAAAGGCTTCTTCATACAGCTCATTACTGATGGCAATGTTTGCAATATCTGGGGCGTCATAGTTATCCAGCCGATTGATGTATTCCATCACACGAGTGCGGTCAGCCTTAATGGCAGTCAGGATCAGCAGATTCTGGAGATTCCTTTGGTTAACAGAAGGCAAAGACTATAAGCATTGCACGGTAACACCTGCTTAAGTGACACATACCATACGTGCAAAAAAATACATCTTCTTGCTGTCACTAGCAACCACCTTTCATCCCCAGAGCAAGCAGCACTGATATTTGCTTTCAAAACGAAAATGCTTACCAGTAACACTGTTCTATTCTCTCACCACTGCCAATTGCATAGTGTGAACTAGATCTGCTCTTAAAACACAGGACACTTTTAAATATGTATAATCAGGTGAAAAAGCAGATTTTAGAGTACTTAGGTCCTGCAACCAAGAGGCCCACAAATAACTTGGGTCACTTCACAACCTAAACAAAGACACTGAACAGGCTAACCTTGTGGACAAAGCTCACCCCTTACCTGTGTTCACTGAATACAGAATTGTCCAAGACAATTTTTTCCAGTAACTCAATCAATTCATTAGGCAGGTCAGCAGTCATGAAAGCTTTCACAGTTACAGAAACCTCCTCTGGATCCTGGGTCTCTGATAAAGCTGTTTGGACAACCTGGATTTGAAGGCAGGAAAGAATTAAGTGTTTTCCCTAAATGAGATATTTGCCAACCCATTCCAGTGAACTACAAATTAAGGCCTCAGAACTTCGAGAGTATCTTGTCACAGACAGCAAGAAAGAGCTACTTCTACACTAGGCACAGCATTAAAGTCACACCTTGGGTCTGTATAGGGAGGAAATTCACTAGAAGTAGGTCACTCCACAGGACAGAAATAATATCTTACTGGTAACTAAGTTTTCTGACTATGAAGGTCAGTTAACACCTGCCACTCAAACTCTTAGAAATTTCTGTATGGTTGAGATGGAGCCTTAAGGGACCCTTGTGGATGAAGACAGCTACCATGATGCTCCACAGTGCTTCTGCGACATCATGGGATCTCCTCATACTGACAGTTTAGCCTTTGTGCTGTACCTGGTCAATAAGCTGCCGCCTGAATGGGTTGTTTTCCTCCAGAACATTTGCCCAGAGCTCAGGGTCCTTCCTGCGCACCAGATAGCGAGCCTCACTCTTAAACAGTGAGTTCTCATTGCAGACCTGAAGAAGTCAAATATCAGTGTTAATGTTAAGGGCTAGCACCACAAGACAGGTTTAGCTAGGCTATGAACCAGACAGTCTAGAAGACTGACCAGAACTAATTGCTGACCAATGCTAAATGCCACAGATAAGTTCTTACCCAACCTCTGATCTGGAAGGCTCATTGAGAAGATCTCCAGCAGACTTTCTATAGCTTCTCTTGGTTTTGCCCGACACACAAATACTGTGACAGTGGCCTCACAGTAACTATTTGCTTCTGTTTGAAGTGAAGACCTGCAGAAGCCTGAAGAACTTAAGTTTTTAATCTAGAAAGGAAGCCACTTGCTTGGGCAGTGTTAAGTAGTGAACTGAGAAATGGTGCTGGTGTTTAAAGCTAGAAATAGGTTAATATATTTGGTGTCATTAGCTTTACACTAGAAGTGTGCAGAGTAGCAAGTGGCTTGGATTCCCCCTGTTAAAGTGTTAAGGGTACAGAGTAAACATGAAATCACTTACAAAAAGTGCAGCAAGGAAGAGTTATGAGCCTATTAGTACCACTTCAATTTCAAGCTAGAAGAGTTGAAACCTGAAGGCCTATTCCATCTTCTACTAACAATTCATGTTTTGTTAGTATCCAAATTAGCTCTTGGAATCTCATGTATTTTGCTGTAAGCAAATTAGTAGTAGTACAGTTTTGCTTTATATTGTACATCTATTAGTTCCAGCAGATGAGCCCTCTTATAAGAGGCAATAATGTCTCAATAATTCTTTCAGGAAGATCTTTTCCCCATAACCAGAAACACCTGCTCAGAACATCAGTTCAAGCAAGAAACTGGTACTGACAGGTTTTCATGGTTAACCAGAATGTTAAAGCTTACCCTAGCGAAACAACAACTCTGAGCCACCTTCATACCCTGAAATAAAGCCAAATGTAGCCAGCCATTCTTTGGTTTGGTGTTGTGCGTGCTGTTTTTTCTTTTTAAGGCTACAGAGGAGGTATTACTTCAAAAATAACAGCTTCTGGCTGGAAAGTCATCCACTTAGAATGGTGGTATAATCTAGGCTTGCTGCTGAAACACTCATAGGGTAGGCCTTGCCAGTGAACAGTGTCTACTTCCTTTCAAAGGGCAAAACAAACTAGTTCTCACCCCTACACAGCTGACATTCCTTGCGTATACTAGTGCAGAAGCGCAGGTAGGAGAACTTGTTTATTCTTCACAGTCACAAGCGCTACAATCTGTCATTAAGTTCTGCTGTTCAGTCTGAGACTAGGATGTGTTTGGAGAGCCCTGGGAATTTCACTCACCCTTGAACTTCTGAGGGAGGTTCTAGGAATCAACAAGTTTAAGATAGGAGAGGAATGCTATCAGAGTAGGTCCTTGCAGTTTGACTGTCAACATTTATTTTCCTCATTTCTAGTTAGGTACTGTAGCAACCCTAAGGGTCAACCATAATAAGGGAAAATTACAAGCCCCTTCTAGTTTCAGGGAAGCTTTTCCTCCTACTGTAGAGTAAGGCTAGACAACAGCCTGTCCCCTCTGCTCACCGAAGGCACAAGGCTCAAAAAACCAACCAAACAAATTAACAAAGGTTTAGCAGTAAGCATATTCACTAGCTAGGCCCAATAAACAATTTAATTTTGGGCAAAATCCATGTATGAGACACATGAATGGTACCTTAAAGCTGCAGAGTTATACAATTTTAGTTTGGACATACAGCATAAGAGTTTTTCTTTATGATCATAAAAATTACTGTCTCTATATAGAATCCTGCCTACGTCAACTCCTGAGTGAGACTGCAAGACAGGATTCTGCAAATGTTAAGACAAATAGGCAGCTAGGCCTCCACTTCAGCCAGCAAGTTGTTCTTTAACGTGTTTATAAATGCAGTTTTGCTAACCTTTATGAGTTCCAGATCACATTGACCCCTCTCATAAGCAACGCAGGCCAGATGAGGGTCCCTCTTTTCACAGTATTTGCCAACTACACGGCTGTCGCCAAGGCATTATGAGTCGCAGGTTCTTCACAGCCTTCATGAATCCTTGATTCAAGCCATGGCAACAGCAACTTGAGCCTTTGAAGAAGCAAATATTTCAGGTTTAGAAGTCAGACTGAGCTATGCTTGACAGCTACCCGTTAATACCCTTTAAGGAAGACTGCTGGTCAGACTTAAAAGCAGATGGAGACCAACCACTTATTTTTAATGAGTCTTAAAATGAGTGGAGGCCAGATCTGCAGTTTAACATCAGAGAAAGTTGTAGATGCCATTAGTTTTGCAATCTTTCCTTTCAACTCCTGTTCTATTACCCGGCTTTTCATGCTTAAAGCCATTTGTTCATTTTACAGGTAACCACAAGTAATTACACAAGTTGCTGTGTGCCTACAACAAGACCGTCAAGACAGTTTTATCCAGATTTACTCCAAAGGTATATCCCATGGTTAGCTGTACAGGAATTGTTCAAAAGCCACGTTATCCATCATGCAGTGCTGTCAGGCATTTCTACATGACCCAAATAATCAAATAGACTGACTAGCAAATCTAAGCTGCTCTTCTGTAAGAAACATAAAACAATATTAGCATTGTATCATACAACAAAACTGCATTGAATTAAAATTCAGGTATATACCACGGTCAGGAAAGCCTAACACTGGTGTATACAGATGCATTTTCATTACCGATTTCTTTTTTCCACTTCAGCCACCAGCTCATCTGTTGAGAACTGGCCTCTAACCACCATGATCAAGTTCTTAATGACATCTTCAGAACAATCCACATCAAGAAGCCCTCCAACCACTGCTGGTATACGGCTAGGATTCACCTAGAATAAGGCAGAATCATCAAAACTAGTTATTAGCATTACTAATAACACACCCACTCTTCCACATGGACTTGTTCTAGTTAATCTTTTAAAATTCACTGCTCTAAAGCATAGTTTAAGTTACTAACACATTTGCACTTACATTCCAGGAAAAACTACACTTACAGGTTTGTAATAGACAAAAGGCTTATTGAAAAGCCTCTGCACTAGAAGTATAAGCACAAGAGAGACGTAACAGATTCTGCTTTAGTTTACTGAAAGTTTAAGTTCCTTCTAAGGAAAGAGAAAGAGCTTAAAACTGGATTCTCCTTACCTTCTGTACATAGATCTCTATATACTTCTGCAGGTTATTGCGATATAAGTAGAGCACCAGGTCATGAACAAAATCAAATCGATCACAGACAATGATCAGAGGAAGCTGGTCTGTGAGCTTTGCCTCCTGTATTTTGTGCAAACAAAAGAAAGGCAAGCAACCACCATTTGTTGAAGCGTTTTCAAAGCAGGAAAGTCTGACCAAGTTCCCTTAGCACTAGAAATCACAATACATTCAAGTTTAAGACTGCCAAGCAGACAACTGACTTAAAGCAATTTACCCACTATGAATATCATGTGGCCAGTCTATCAGCTGAATTTTAAGTTTAGGCTCTTCATGAAGTGCCACATTAGACCAACATCGCTAGCTTCAAAATGACTATCAGTTCATTTACCAATGCTTAATTAACAACAGTTGCTAGGCCAAGAACTTAACAATGCAAAATGAAGTGGCATTAAAAATCTCATTTTACCAGTCACAAAGCATGTGAAGTGTTATAGTACACGTTGACTCCCGGATTCACCTATTGTTAGGTGACAACATGAGTTTGGTACAAGTTGTATCACACAGGCTAGTTTTAAAGGAATGGTGAATTCAGGCTTGTTTTCCCAGAGACAGCCTAGAAGGATTTATTATATGCCTCAAATAGGATCAGACTCCTATTCTAGCTACACAGCAGACTACTCACAGCCACGCCAGCTAAACCTTGAGCTGGTATTTCCCTTCATTAGGAGGCTGTAGTTCTGCTGCCAAGCAAAACATACCGAGGACTACTCAATCTATTGGACAGAATATTTACCTTCAGAAAGTTCTTGACCCGTTCTGGGTTATAGCAGTTACTTTCACGGCAGATTCTTTCCACTTCCTTTATCTGACCAGTCTTGCAAGCTGCCTGGATATACTTGAAGTGAACATCTGGATCCTGGCTGAAGTTAACAATGGAACCCAAGAAATAGAACAGTCCTAGAAAGAGTCATGTGTTAACACAGTTAGAAAGGTAAGTGAAGCAAGTGCAAACTGTTACAGGCTTCAGCTTGTGACTTAGTTCAACCTTGCCGAGAGACTAGTTTTCATTCAACTACAGGAAAAATCAGAAGGATTTTTTAGCCCCCTCCTCTTTCAGGTTTCATCTTTCTTTCTGATCTTTACTCAAGAGGGTTAAGAAACTTTCCAGAACAGAGCTACACCTAGAACTCGCTCACTTTGATAAGTGCACCCTAAGGTTCAGCCATGTGATAAGCACCTCTCCCATAAAAGCTACAATCCTTACTAATAGCATCAATCAAGCAGTGTTTGCAAGTAATCTGGTTCCCTCCAATACTGTACCTTCATAGCTTTTGAAAGATTCAAAAAGCTCCACAAGAGACTGGGTACCAAGCTGCTCATGGTATTTAGAAGCAACCTGCACACAGAGCTGTAGGTTTTGCCTAATGTTGGCTGACAACATGGCACGTAAACACTCCACAGAGTCTTCAACCGAGAGAGAGCCAAAGAAGTTCACAAGCCACTGCAAAGAGAAAGAAATTTTACTCAGGAACTTACACAGAATTTGACTGACTTCTAAAATGTGGCAACTAGCCAGAGTGTCTACTCCAGCGACTAGAGAGAAAAGTCTTCCACGCGCTAAGACCAAAGACTAGAAAAGAAACACACTCACCATCTTTACAATTACAAAAATGCAGTTTGGAAGTAAGATGTCAAATGTCCACCTGGGAAACTGAGATCATATTTAAGCCATTGAAAGTATAGATTACACTTTAATCATCAGCTAGAGAAATGTTCATGAATAAACAGCTACGTGTGCTACTTTGGTACCTACAAACCATCTTATAGTGGCTGCAGGTATTTTAGCAGCTACAGAAGTGCTGAACAGTATTCAGTTAAGCTTTCACTTTCTTAAACAGACTTACCTCAGGATTCAAGAGGTGAGTATGAACAACAGCACGTTTAATATCATAGAGATCCGTGTAGTGTTCCAAAGCTCGCTGGAGCAAGCCTGCCTTTTCACACAACTGGGCAATATGAGCACGATCGTAGTGTGTAAACATTTGGTTTCCAAGAATGGCATCTGCAACCTAGGAGGTCACATTTTATAATCAGACTGTCAGAGAATAACAGCAACTCAGCCTAAAAGTTGTCAAAAAGTCACAACAGTGACACATTAGTAGTGTCTGATGTTGCTAAACTACTTGTAGATACCAGTATCAGACATCATGTTCTTGTGCAAGCCTACTACTGTCTCTGCTTCACTTTTTGGAGGAACGAGGTTGAGGGGTCTTACCTGCGGGGCATGAATCAAATTCATTTCCAGGAGACGAGTCTGAAGGTGGCCTTCTGCGGGGCGATTATTTTTCAGGGCATCCAATAGAAAGGACGTGCACTGCTGAATAAGACTGTTCTCCATGAATACATCCACAATCTGTTGAGATTGGTCAAGTTAGAGAAGGGGGTCTACACACACACGCACATTTATCTGTACATACTAATGGCCTGACCAGAATGCTAGGCAGGCAGCTCACCACAGCACCTAGCATGCTATATTCCCTTTGTTTTCATAGGATTACTACCACAGTAAGAGAAAAGCTTCACACTGTTTTCTTTTTCTCTAGAATGTAAGAAGCACATTACCTTGAGCTGTTATGCCAGATTTTGCCACCCACTATTTTCAACCCATCATGCAAACCCCATCCCTTCTCTCTTTTTTTGGGATAGTTGCTACAAGAAAAACTACTTTTTCTAAGCAGCTGCAATTATTCAATAATGCAAATTGTTGCCTTATTTCTCTGCCCATTTAGCTAGAAGTGGCCACTGGCAGTCAGCATTCAACTTAGGTTTATTTGTTCATCTTCCTGTAAATTCTCTGCATGGAAGGAGTTAATGTAGGCTCTGTTAAAGCCAACAGTACAACAGTAACACCCTATTGCTTAGAATAGGACTATGGCAGATTCACTATCAATATTACAGTAATAAGCCAGAAAGCTTCCACAAGAACTTGAGAGCACACTTGCCTCTACAGGCTTATTGGTAATCAAACTTGACTAGAACAGTTTAGTCGCTTTTCTAACCAAGCCAACTAGAGACCTAAAACTGGCCTTACCAGTCCCCAAAATGGTACTATGCTATTACCTCTGTCTAGAAAGAGACCAGTACTCTTGTTGTAGGCATCACCTGGTTAATGTTAGCCAGTGGCTCCTCATCCTGTACCAGCATCTGAGAGAACTGCAGGCCTTGCTCTGGACTAACTCTCATTACACTTCTCAGTAAGAAGATCCAGTCCGGGGTATAGCCGACCTAGAGATTTCAGAAAGAATCATGCATATTTGGGAAGCTTTATACATCTTTTCAGCCTTCAGGTTCTTTAGCAGAGGCACTATGAACTGCTGTCATGTTGCCATGCCCATCCCCCACCTTCTAGGAATTCTCAGACAAAAGCATGGCTTGTCTTTTGACAGAAATTCAGTATTCACCTACTTAGTAACTGAACTTGCACCAGGACATTTCTCTGCTAGGTAAGAAAACTGCTAGGAAGAAAAAATCTTTCAAAAGTTTTAAGGCACTATCAAGTAAGGTCCCAAACCTACAAATGGACATCAAGCAAACTGTTCTGTAATCTGTCCAAAAAAAAAAAAAAGTCTTTTGAATTTAGGAAGAATCTTATCCTTATTCTCTAGAATAAGCTTGAGCTTGTCCATTAATCTGATAGTTCATAAAATTCTGGATGTTCCGAATTTAATTTTTTTGCAAACTGCTCAGACCTTAGTCACACACTAGGACAATAAAGAAAACACTGTTTCTCAATCTTACCTACTTATCAGTTTTAAGTGACAGAAATCAAACTTATCTCACAGAAGATAGCTTGAGAATGTACACGTTAAACATAAGATAGAGTCTAGCAGTTTGTGATAAACAACTTTACCTTTTTAGCATACAGCACTATTTTCTGGAATTGACCAGTTTCAGCAAAGCACTGAATCACTTTGTTTGGCACATTAGCACGAAGATAGACACTGAGTGCAAGGGTTGGGTCAGCTGTCTTCACCAAGTCTCCCAGCTCCTCTGAGCACTCCAGCTGAAGTCAGAAGTGGTATTTTGTCAAGCAGCAGAATTTAGAGATGTAGTATCAACACATGTATTGTTCACACTCAATTGTTACAAAGCAACAGAATTAAGCTAGTGTCATGACTGAGCCTACCTTGTCTTCCTTCAGCCACTTCTCCAGAAGCTGCTTGCGGCCCTGCTGTAGGACAGGGCGACAGAGCTCCAGAGACTCAAACTTGTTCAGCTGTCCCTGATCAAGCAATATTCCAAAGTACTGGAGCAGGGGAGAGGCCTGCCCAGGCTGAGCTGGTACACTCTGGAACTTCCTGATTGTATCACTTGTACGTAGAATTCCCTGAAGTGGCACAAGACAGAAGCAATGTTTAATTAGTGAAGGCTGAGTAGTATCAGCCAAAAACAGGCTTTAAGCTATACACTGAAGCATCTACTCTTTGGCTTTCAAGGTGGAGATCTTCAAACCAATGACATTCTAGCAACAAGTCAGCGGCCACAGCAAGTCCATTCTATGTTTGGAAAAGTATAGCAGATGCTCCTTTATGGGATACAGGAGAATACATTAGTCAGAACAACCACCAAACTGCATAGAACTAAGGCTATTATTACAGCACTTTAGTTTACGAATGTCATGTACTGAAATGCAAGCGAGCTAAGCAAGACCACTAAGCTAAGGCAAACCCCCTTGACTTCTAAGCTTTACCTTTGGATTTATTTACCTTTGGTGCAGATGCAGCTACTTTAGCAGCATCTGCGTAGCTTCCTTGAGCAAACAATGTGTTGAACTTTCTGGCAAATAATTCCTCTGCCCCAGCTAGATTACTACGTATAGCCATACGCAGTCCCAAGTCAGGATTCTGGAGGACATTTGTAGCATAGTTCACTATGTTGTCTTCCTCAACACATACAGAAAGCACCTGGAAAGGACAAAAGGCATATAGAGTAGTACTGACCTTTCCACAACTACTATGAAATACAGCAACCAAATAGCTATGCAGGCCATTAGTGAAATAATATATTATTAAAAAATAAAGTTACTCCCCAAACAGTTCTGTACTAGGAGAGGTTAAAAACTGACTAATCAAATAGTTGCTTGCTCCCTTCCATGATGTTTGTTTCTTCAAGTCACTCATTAGGTTTATTACATTCCATCTGGGCTTTAGAAGGCTCAAAAACAGAATGCTGGATTTGTTACCTGTCCTTTTTTATTCACACCAATAATGCCTGAGGTAGGTTCATGAGGAGCTGTGACAAAGATAGTATCAGCACTAATACGGTTCATGTAGATGCACACTCCAGACTCCAAGTCATACATGTGAATATATCCATACTTTGTGATCAGGTAGATAACACCATGCTTAACTCCAATCTGCCAAAAGATGAATGTTTATTAGTCAAGACTAAGAGTGTAACAGTTAAAACAGCTGCCTTTAGCCTAGTCACAAGACAGTACTGCAGTGGCATGCTTTCACATTGACACTAAGAACAAATATAGCTCCAGGCTTCTTCCTTACAGACTTAAAGCAATGAACAGTTTTGCTTGCCACTTGGAGCCACAGCTCCACTCATGAGAGGTTGAAGGGAAATTAAAATTCATCTGCAGCAAAGGACATACTCCTCATTCTAATGAGCCAAGTTGAGGGAAAAAGTTTAGGCACAGTTAGCATTCTAGTCTAGACATGTCAGTACAAGTTTATATTCAGAAATATTAATGAGATAATCCCACTCTCTTCCAACAAGGTCTACCCAAAGCACCAGCAGAACCTAAACATGCAGCTCAGCTACTGAGCACCCCAGTTTACGTGTCAAGTCACTTAAACTGAGGAGGCTTTCAAGCCAAAACAGTCTTCAGACAAAGAATTATCTTCACTTTGTAACAAGTATTCAGATGTTTTGTTAATTAAGCCTCAAGCTGAAGTACAAAGCCACATGAATCCTGCCGTGTAACAGCTTGCTTTACTTACCTCAGTTTAAGGCATCTCTCGGTTCATTTATGAAGCTGGTCTATTAGACTGGACAGCAGTTGCATGCTTTGAGATAGTATGCTTTTATTACACAATTCCTAGTCCTACAGACATGCTAAGTGAAGTTTGGTCCGTGAAGGCAACCAGCTATGTTCTTTCCTAAAGCACCTCTCTTTAATGCCCCAGATTGCCTTTTCTGTGCTGCTACTACAGGAGGTACGCTGATGCAGGACTCCCCACTTCATTTGTCTCTTACAGTGACATCTACTGTAGACAAAACGCTGCTTTCATGTGAAGCCATGCATCAAGCACCATAACAGTCCTATCTAGAACTCTGAACACTAGTAGAAATTCAGCAGACAAAGCAACGTTAGGAAACATTGTATCAGAAGACACTACTGAGGGTGTTTTTTGGATCTGTTTTTTGTTGTTGTTGGGGAAGGATATGGTATGTGTTTTGTTGGGGCTTTGTGGTTTTTTTTTGTGTTTTTTTTTTTTTTTTAAACTACAACCTTAAGTTAACATATCTGGACAAATATTGGAACAGCCTAGGTATCTGTGTTTGAGTTACCATTTTAATGTCCAGGCTACCACCCACAAATCTATTATTACCCCACCCAGAACTAGAAGGAATGACAGCAAAGCACTAGTAGAAAGCATTCTTTACCACAGAGATGGCAGCTACCTGCCAGGCTATAAAGTTGCTTTTTTTGAGGGTCAAACATTTACCTGCATTGCCACAGGAAAGTCTGTCTGTGCCTCAGGTGGGAAAAACACATCAACAGCTTTCTTAACAAATGGCTGATTTCCAGTAGCTGGCTGACCTACTTCAATGATGTGTAGCTAGGAAGAAAAAGAGTACATGTCACAAGACTGCCTGCAAGTATAGCCTCATGAAAGAAGTTCCTCTCTTCAGATATGCTACTGAAGTCAGTTGCCATACTTGGCCGATGAATATCTGCCCAATCCTAAACCAACACTGTCTGGGGTGCTGTGCTCCAGATATTCACCAGGGGGACAAGTTTTCTGAAGCTTTATACAAGTAAAAACAAGGAAAGGATCAAAAAAAGAAAAAACCCTACACTTTCTATGAAAGCAGACTATTTCTATTCAAGACTACTTGTTCAAGATGTTTTGAGTGAGACTTGCCAGTTCATCAATAATTTTGCAGGACAAAGCTAGAAAACTTAAGACTAGCGTTACCTCAGCTTTTCACAGACTGCTCAGCAGTTCTAGCATATTCAACTGCTACTGAATTCCACTATCGGTTTGATGCAAACAACCTACCTACAGCACTAAAGCTTATCGAGTCTTTTTCTGTACTGGATTCAAGACATAAGAGGCTGCTTCATGACTTAACTTCATACACATAAAACTCCACACAGGCTTCAACCGACGCTTTGACACCCTGAGCTCAGTTCTCACTGCATCTACATTTGTTCTTATGTCTAAGTTTCACTAAGCAACTCTGATATTTTGCAGTTTCTATCCTATTGAAAGCAAGTATTTTTTTCTGACCAAATATGCTGCGTACATGTTTCCCAAGCTGTTCCTCAGAAAGCATATACTAAACTGATCACTGGAGTTCTGTAGGACAGAGTTCTGCTACAGCAGAACAGGACAACAGTTGCAGTCTTTACCTTGCCCCCCGCAGGACTCCTCACGGCAAAACAGAACAGTGTAGAAGGTTTGGTATTTCCCTCTATTTTGAATTCTGCAAAGGCTGCTGCATGGCCCTCTATAGGTTGGGAGACTTTTCTATCAACTGAGTACAGCTGCATTGCACCAACCACACGATTTTGCTAGAAAGAAGAAAGGTCAGCTTTCAGAGATAAGATTTCAAATGTTTATAACAAGTCCTCTTTTTTTTTTTAACTAAAAAGTTTAGTTTTAGTTTTTTTAAACTAAAAAGCAGCAAATGCCTCTCACCCCCCCTCCAACGCTTTAATCCCATTAAAGGTTATTCCTACACAAAAGATATTTTTGAATTTTTGATCTACAGAAACCAAAGTTAAGAAACTATAGCAACTGTTAAGGGAAGCAGGGCTAGGGCTTTCCTGATTTTTTTCATAGCCTGCTATTTCCAGGTAACTTACCTGTGCTGAAATTCCTATCAGCAGCAGCCATTTTTGGTGTTCATCTGTTCTGTAATTGATAATTTGGCAGCCTGCAAGACTAGCATGTCTGTCAAACATCTTTTGGGGTTGCGATTCTCCCTCCATGCTCCAGTGGTAGACTGCTGTCTCTGTCACCAAGGCAACTGTATTCACAGATATCCATTTCCAGAAGATCACTTCCTCTGCCATCGTGTGGGCTTTCATTTTACTTTTCATCTCAATGTTAAAGATCTGAAGTGTTTTCCCAGCTAGTATGACAAAACCCAAGAGACACCACAGACAGATTACCACAATGGCCATTCTGTAGTCTATTTACAAGCACCCTGTTTAACCCTCTGCTCCAGTGATGCTACAGACAGGTTGGTCTCCTGTCACATCTGAGTCTCCTTTGATACTTGACATATCAAATAGAATCCCCTCCCCACGCCCAACACCTCTACCATCCCTGAAACAAGAAAGTCTGCTTCTTATGGACACTTACATGGACATTCCAATAACAGACAAGCATAGACATTTTAACTAACTATAAGCTGTAGTTAAGACAGTCAAAGCTACAGAGCTTGTGTAAACTCTCGTTTAGGTAGCAGCACTGGTATGCCAAATTGTAGGTGTCTAGCAGATGTCATTCAGTATAATTAATAGAAAGAATGGCTCCAGTTTGTGTCAATTTAGTAGCTGCTGTAGATGACCTGGACTGAGTCCAACAGCATGAGACTTGCAGCAGGTCTTGAGACAGCCATAGCTTCCATACTAGTTTTCTGTTGAACAAACTGTGCACTTAACTAGGAGATGGAAAGGCTCTGTACAACAGTAATACAATCAAGCGCCTACTGAAGAGGCCAGTCCAAAGTTGAGAAAGATTATGGAAAGGTTTGGAGCTTTAGTTCCAGTTAAGGTTACCGCTTCATGATTTAAGTAACAATATTGCAGGTTTAAGCTTGACTTCAGTATTCCTTTGGACTACTAGAAGCAGCTAGTACGGACGGACTTAGAACTAATGTTAATTGAACCAACCTATAACAAATAAGGAACTCTATTCCTTTCAGAAAGTCAAAGTCATGTTTTACTTCACTGCAGATGACACAACTCAGCCCTAGGAATATTGTTTTCTGTTCACAAGACACCCACTCAGACTGCTAGAGTATTGGCTTGTAATGCCATAATTTTTATCCACATTTCAGAAGTGTTTTCCCTGCTAGTAACACTTCTGACTGTCAAACTGGTAGATGTTCCTTCTACTGTGAAGTTTTGATAGATGAAGGCTGCTGGCCACTGATGAATAATTCTCGAGAGATACTAACCCTAAGTTAATATGCATCTCAGACTGCTCTATAATGTTTTAGCATAATTTACACAATAAATTAATCATATTAGTTTAATGCAGTGCCAAGATACAACACAAGACTTCAGAGCTACCACATGCAGTACTTATGCTCCCTGGATTAACTGCATAAAGAACTGCTAACCTGATCAACTAGTTCCTAGGACGGCCTGCTAGCTTTCCTAGGACCAAAAGCAGCCTGTTTCTGACCACCTTACTCTGCATATGCACTTACTGCATTACACAAATGTAACAAGCCCAGGCCTAACACCAGCTGTAAACTGATAGTTCGAAACAGCATATTTACTGTATTGGGCAACAATTTATCCAGCAGTGGAGTGGTGCTATCAAGTGATTGATTTCAGACTTCCACAGTATGCAGCCTCACATGCAGAAGGCAGATAAGCAGTTCTGGAAGGGCTCTGGTCACTATCTAAACAGGAATATCAATACGAGAGCAGTTTCTGTGTGCACAAAGTCAGTCTTCCTGAAAAGGAAGCAGGATGTCCTTCCTAGTTTTAAGAACATAGAAAAAAACCAATAAGCTACTAAAACAAGCTAAAAGCTCACGCTTTTCTATTTCCTAGACTAAATTTGACTGCTATATTACAGTTGGAAATGGCTTTAGAAGCTTTATCAGGCACCTAGTTCTGCGTGTTGGGTGCCACAGGAGCCATGGCAATGTAATTTCTTAAGTGTGGCAACAAACTCAAGCTTCAGAACTCTAGGTTGTAATTACACTACAAAAAGAAATCCGTTCTTTGGATTAAGAGAGCAGAATGTGCCATAAAAGTCACAGTGACGACAAGTGTGAGTCTTATGGCCTAAGAAAGCATTCCGAGTAGACAAGATCCGAGACCAAAAGCCAGACCCTTATAAGTTTTCCTGATCAAGCTACCAGACTGATCAGTCTACTTCGACTATTCTCTACAGGTGTAGTCAAGTAAGCAGATTCATTTTTTGAACACTGGGACAAGAATTTACATTTCAGTTCACTGGAGCATGAAGTTTCTCCATTCCACAAAGAATGGAAGCACCCCAAGTGCTGCATTCTTCACTTACACCAACTGGGCAGTACTGTCAGTACAGAGCAAAGCAAGAGGTTCATGAACACAAGGACAAAGCATAAACCTTGGTACACCACAAGAATGCCACATGCAATCCAGAAATGAAATTGTGCATACTATATTTCAGTTTAAATCAAGAACCATTTCATTTCTTTTTCTTAGGGTTTGTATATGTTTATTGCTCATTAATCCTCAGATTATGAGCAATTCCCAATCATGGCACACTGAGTCACAATTGCAACAATTTTGACTACTGAAGCCTCAGTCAATCAGCAGGGAAAGCCTGGCGGGACAGACTGACTTAAACCACATCTTCAGTGCAGTTCACTGTAGTTCTTGCTGGTTATCGTAACAACACATTGGCTAGCTACCCTCTATTCACCCTCTTTTCTCCTCAACCCTTTGGTCATTAGATTATGGATAGAAGAAGAGATCACTGAGTTTGCAATACCTGACAACACAACTTTGCATGTCAATGTGACATCATTTACTCAACCTTATACGTTCAGAGCACAAGCTTCATTCTGTACGGACAGAATAATACTTCTTTTGAGCAAGTCTTAATACCGGCAAGAATAAAATTATATTCTTCAAAGCTGATGATAATCCATTTAGCTAGCAGGTTAGTTTTAAAAACAGATGATATAGTTTCTTTTTAAGAGCTAGACGAAGCTCTGCTAGTGTAGAGAAGGCACTTTCCTTGCCAATATTGTTTGTTTAAAGGGGTCCAAGATTAAGAACAGTGAACTCTTTACATTGTTACCTTTTACCCACACCCCAGGTAAGGCAGTCCTTTGCAAGATGTACAAGTATCTCAGCTGAATCGTGATTCAGTTCAAGTCAAACATTAACACACCAGTTTTCCCCTAATGTCAGTACAGCCTGAGATCAAAGACAAAAAATTACAGGTTTTGTGCCAGTTCTGAGGACAGTTATTTCTTGGACCCGTAAGTAATTTCACCACAACTTTTCACAATAAAAACACAGGCAGAAATGAACAGCATACAGGACATGCTAGCAGAGGTCTCTCATAAAAGTATTGCAACTTGATTTTGTCTATCAACTGTACCTCCCTTATATATACACACACACAAACATTAAGAGCACACTCTTCTCCTTCACTTGGTACAGTCAATAGCCAAAGCAACCAAATGGTTTGCAACAAGCCAAGGGAGAACATCTTCACTATAACACCAGTTGAGGATTAAGATCCCCCACCTGGCTATGAAGTGAGCTGTCAAATGGCTACCTTGCAGTTCAGTACTTTTTATGAGATTAGACCATTCTGTACTACGAAACATGAAATGCCACAACAAAGTTCACTCACCATCTGTTTAGATAAGATGCAGGAAGAAAAGTACATAGTCAGTAACAGTTATTGAGATTAAATACCAGAAGTTGGTCATTTAAGAAAAGAGCCAGAGATGTATGGAAAATTATTTGTTTGAGCTCTGAGTGCTACTTAAAGGCAGTATCAACACCACAGGTCCTAGTAAGCAGAGGTCTTCTATCTGCACAATCTCATGACTGCCAAACTTAAAACGCTTGTACATTCAGACTTTCACAGTTACTGGCCATCCTTATGACATTTTGTTGGTATCTAGTAAGCTATTCAGAGCTACAAGAAAGGGCCAGGACTGAGCAGAGAGCAAGAATGGCTTTACACCTCTAATCACCTTTAGAAGTGTCCACTATGTTTACAACACCTGTTTAAATGGAAAGTGTACCATATGTTGACCTGGTCCATAGTGAAAACAGAAGGTTGCAGTGCCAAGAGGAAGCATCTCACACCTACTTGGAGGCAAATTATCCAAATATTAATGAAAAATCCACTGCCAAAAATCTAGCATGCAAGCTCAGGCAAGAATTCTTATCCTCATACACATTCTTCTTAGAAAGTTCAGATAAATCTTAAGAGAATATATGTAAGCAGTAATACAGCTAAACAGTAGGTTTCATAGTGCAATAATAAAGGGTTACTCACCTTTTAGCGCAATTACTTTAGAGGCTGGATTCATGATGGCACTTTCGGCAGAAATTGGACGTCTGATTGGTGTCGTTGGATCGCTCATGTCAATTATCACTACTTGTGCCTGCTCTCCCACCTTCTCCCTGATGCAGATGAACTTGTCAGATTCCATTGTTAAGGTACTGAATCCAATGTTTGCTGGGTTAATGCCCAAATTTTGGAGCTAGGAAGAGGATGGAGAGTGCTTTATTATCTGTTCCATGCTGAAGGTCTAACTCAAGTCTCCACATCTAAGGTCTCCTCCAGAAGAAAATGCAAGACCGGCATACTTCTCTGACAAGACTATTATAGAACTACGATTTATCTTCTGCTTCTCTTTGTTCCATAGATAAAGAGCTACAGAGTTCTCAGTATTCAAGTCCTAAAGACATTCCAAAATTGTATTATTGATGCAAACTAAAAGGAGTTTTAATTTAAACATTTATTGCTTAACCTTGTTCTAGTAATGCGATAGGCTGTATACTATCAGTAGCATCACTATTCTAGATTTAGCAAGGCTGGTAAACTTATTAAGTGGCAGAACTACAATGGACAGCATCAGTGGGTCTTATGGAAAGAGCCAATTACCCTTACGTGACCCACTCCTAGCAACATTATGGAATGAAGTCTACACAGCATGTCTCAAATGGCCTACTTTTAAAAGTGGACTTGTTTATCTTGCTTCTTAGGTTCTAATTCTTACCAGTGAAAGCTAAGAAAGATTGTTCAAATAATCAGTCATTCCATCTCTCCTTGCCCAACACGTCACGCCACTTGGCTCAACAAAGGCAGGGATTGCAATGCAGACCCCCTCCTGCCTTATGTCCAACTCTCAAAACATAACTTGTGATCACATGACAGTAGGTACAAAGCAGTTACTCTTAATGTAACTGAAAGTCTTTTTGTGCCACTGAATAGAGTGCCCTAGAAGACAGCTATTTCTCATTTTCATCCTTTTGCATTAGCTTTGTTTCCATTCATTTCTAATTTTAGGTTAACAGGGGGAGGTGGCAGTGAAAGAGTATCACCATTTCAACTGGTCTGCAGTAAAACAGATTTACCTATGCAGCACACCCCAGCTTGGTATGTATGCAAGCTGCATTTTATACAACAGTAACTGTGACAAGCCCAAGCACCTGCTTTATGCCCCAAAGCAATGCTTTTCAAGCAGATGAACTGTATCAGCTTCACTGAAGCGTCTTAAGGGATTAACTTACACTGATTTTCAGTGCACTGCAAGTGAAAAATGACTGCCTTCAAGGAGACAGGACAGAAACGACCACCAGCATCACCAAGGTGTTTGGACTCCTTTGCTACATACCACCAGGGCCTTTGTATACCCCCTGGGCAATAAGTCCCATGATGGTGTCACAAACATTGTTTTAGTGTGTTTTGATCTGACTGATCATGCCTTGTTACAGCTTCTGTAAAGCTACTCACTAAATCATAAATTGAGTACGTAACAGAGATACCTAGAAGTGTGGTGTCAGGACTGCGCCCAAGAACGCCTCAGGAATTGTTTGTTTTCTGTTCAGCTTACTCATGACGAGCTATTCAGCTCAGTACCTGCTAGTCTCGACATACTCGGGTTTCAGTAATGCAATACAAGCCAAATGTATGCATGTGTAAAGAGACATTTACTTCCTCCCACAAGTGTGTCTCAGCAAAATTGAGACCCGTTCAGCTAACACCTCACTTTATAGGTAAATACTTCAATATAGTAAACTTCAGTAGGTGCCATTCATTCCAAAAGTGAATAAAAGTTTACTCACAAGAACATCAGAAACTGCTTGCAAGTACAGTTCTGAAAACAAGTCCACTGGGCATGCAGCTACTACAGGCTTGTGTATCAGTAAGGAAAGAAGTTTCCACAACAAGACAACTCCTGTAGTTTTCAGGTGTAGTGTAGGAAGTTTTAGTACTCAAACACAGAAGTTGTAGCTGCATCAACTTCTGTGACCTTGGACAACAGAGGAGTAAATGATGGGCTCTTAATTCCACTGTTCTTGGTCACATGCTCTAAACTGGACATCCACTTACTGTGACAAATTACACATTTACATGGGAGACACTTGAGCACTTCAACACCGAGCATGATCCCAGTCCATCTACCAACAGACTATAGTCCATTATAGAATCATAGAATGGTTAAGGTTGGAAGGGACCTTAAAGATCATCTGGTTCCAACCCCCCTGCCATCAGCAGGGACATCTTCCACTAGACCAGGCTGCTCAGAGCTCCATCCAACCTGACCTTGAACACTGCCAGGGAGGGGCTGCCCTCTTAGTTTACAGCCACTCCCCCTTGTCCTACCACTACACACCCTTGTGAAAAGTCCCTCTCCATCCTTCCCGTAGGCCCCTTGAGGTACTGGAAGGCTGCTCTACGGTCACCCCGGAGCCTTCTCCAGGCTGAACAGGCCCAGCTCCCTCAGCCTGTCCTCATAGGAGAGGTGCTCCAGCCCTCCGATCATCTTTGTGGCCCTCCTCTGGACCCGCTCCAACACACCCATGTCCTTCTTATGTTGGGGGCTCCAGAGATGAATGCAGTACTCCAGGTGGGGTCTCACAAGACCAGAGTAAAGGGGCAGAATCACCTCCCTCGCCCTGCTGGCCACACTTCTCTTGATGCAGCCGAGGATACGGTTGGCTTTCTGGGCTGCAAGCACACATTGCCGGCTCATGTTCTAAGAGACTGATTAAGTTAAGTGTCACAATAGCGGTCAAAAGACGTACCTGCAGCATAGCTGAGTTCCAACGATCTAATCCAAATTCAGATGTATTTCCAGAGTACTGAAGTAGAAACACAGCCTTTTCAAGGTCTCTTCTCAATTACTATGCTTCAGCTTGACCTACTCTTCAAGAGACAGCCCCTGGCTACTCATTCTGCATAGCGAAAATCTTGAGGCATTAGCCTACTTGAAGTTCAGCTTTAAGCTCAATGTTATTAACTCCAAAATCTGGTCCATGTTGAAGAACAATACTTTAGGTATCTTCATTAAGGTAAGATATTGCTTCAATTTCTGGTATTAATATTTCCTGTTTTAGCTGTCAAAGTCTAGCAAAGCTTTCAGAAAACAATGTTAAATTCCGCATGAGTATCACTGCCATCCTTATAATTAGGAAAGTCAGTCACACCTTTTAAAAGCAAAATGACGCTATTTCCTAAAGGACAGTGAATACTGCAAGCCTCAATGAATGATGACAACACTTCAAATTTTAGAAGTCTGAAACACTGAAGACTATTCCTGCCATGAGGGGAGTGATAAGTATCTTCATCAGATCATATGTGCTCCTGTAACATGGAAGCAGTGCAAGAGGCATCTTCCTAATGACTATACATAACATAAGCACAATCCCTTTACAACCAACTAAGGGACATCAGCCAGCATTGCTTCTATCCTAGATGGAACAAGTCTGCCAAGACAATCTGGACTATGTTGTTCTAAAACACCTTCACCCCTTCCTCAAGCACAGATTTAAGAAAACTATTACAGTAGGTAGCAAGCATTTAGCTATGTATCTTAAAAGGCCTCAGGTGAAGGTACTACAGGTCAATACTGAAGTTGGTATATATTAACTAGAGATTTTGCAGTTTATTTTCATAAAGAGTGATCATCAGGCCTCTCAATTGCTACCAAGTTTTGATTTTTTTATTATGCTTCTTATGCAAGCAGTACTCACACTGATGTTGCCTTCTTCTGAAGAGGATTCAATATCACAAACTCATTCCGGGAACATTTACTATGGGGATAGCCTGCTTCCATGATTTTACCCCACACTTTACTTTTGGGTAATCCAGTTAAACCTCCCAAGCATCCCCACATAGGTTACTGTAAGCCTCGCTGTAGAGGAAAGGATAACGCTCTGTTCTACAAATAACACCCTAATGCCCATTATCTACACAAACAGGGTAGAACTATCTTCACTATCAGGCTGAATGAAACAGATAAAGATTTTTGCTTCATGGATATCTAGTATTACTGCAGGCTGGATTAGATACGTAAAAGTAAGTTTGGTATTTTATAGATACTGAGAACTTACTGACACTGTAAAGATCAACCTGAGATGCACTATTTGATTCTCAACCTGAATGAAGATACACAAGTCCTACACTTCAGATAAAATACAGCTGTTAATCTGAGATCTAGTCTTTCCCCATTATACTTTACTGACATGGTACAATTTGCTAAGAAATGGAGTTGAGACATTTTAACACAAGAGTTCTACTGAATATTGTGCCTTCTAATGCACTTCACTTTCTGTGGAGTACAGTGATTCAGAGTGAGCCAGCACAGACCAGCTCAGACACCGATACTACCAGACTTCAAACTAAGTCCATTTCTCTAATGGGAAAGAGTTTGGCCTAACTTACTGTCCATTCAAAGCTGGTAGTCTAATACTTGGGACATATCACCAGTTTAATGCTGGAGTCAGTGGAACTCTGACTTTAAGATCCCTCAAATGTTCAGTAAGCATCCCATTTCAGTCTTATGCCACACAGCTCTAGTGGAAATACTTTTTAGAGGTGATCAACTTTTTTTTTTGTTTTGTTTTTTAAGTCCTTTAGAAAAGAGTAAGGTTTGAACAGAGGCTATACGTATCCAAATATTAAGAACTGTCTGCTAAAAGCTCTGTAAGCGCATATCATTTTAAGCATAACACAAACCGAGAATACAGTAAGACAGTTGCTCAGAACTCTTTTACTCATGTGACTATATAAAGTTACAATCATGCTCAGTAAAATTTGCATACAGTTGCTGGATATTCCCTCTCAATTGCCCACCCTCACCTCATCTCCTGCTATTGTTCCCATCCTGACAAGCAAGGGACATCAGGGAAGTATGGAAGAGCTGAAACATGCAAGACCACCAGCTCACAGGTTTTAGTTGCAGTTGCAATTAGGCTTTCATCTTAAATGATAGTTACCCCCTAGACAAAAATCTGTTCTTGTGTGTCTGTGATGTGGATTAAATCATCTATTGAACAAGTCCCCCTACCACATGTAGGGCACTTTTCAATCCAGTGAGCAAATATGGTCTCTTCAATACTAAACAGCTGAATTAAGTCATGATATTTAGCCCTACCTTTTGAATACAAGTCAAAAAAGTCATTTACAGCTTGCAGATATCAAGTGCTTTTAAGTCCACATGTCTAGCCAAAGCAAACTCATGAAAGC